GCTTAAACTTTAGAGAAGCGCCTTAATTAGCACTGGAAGCAAAGTCGTTAGCACCTGCCATTGGTTACACAAAACCACTCTCATTTCCTTGGACTTCACAATGTGTTTGTTATAAATTACACTCTCCATTGAAAAACCCCTTGAGATATCTTTGTCATATCCAAAGAATATTTTTGGAAGCCAAGCAGCCCAGAGGCCTACGCCATGTAGTTTTCCACACCAAAAAGTATTGTTACTTCGACAATTGAACATTTACATAAATTATTGTCATTATAAAACTGTTCTCATGCCTTACTGACCATTAGAACAAGTCATATCTTGTGCCTTTGTAAACTGTACTGAACTTTAATATACACAGATATGAAGCATTATATTATATTGTATATTATATTAATTCAGAAAGAATTTTTATATTAATAGAATGCGTGGTAACATGATTAGACAAAAGTTTTTTGTAGCTTTCCTCGGAGAGAATGCACACATCATGTATAGTTATAGTCCTATCCACTCTCATGACTGCTGATACATTCAACAGTGCATCTCAGCAACAGATTCAAACATGAAAGCCAGAATGAACATTACAACAGTCAACATAAAATCTGAAGGAGAAACATTCAGCAACAAGAGAACAATGAAGCAAGGGCTACTGAACTGGATTCTCAACTACAATTTGTACTTGTACATCGTATTTGGCACTCTCTTATAATCGAACAACCAATATCTGAACAATGAGAATAGGAATACAGTATGTCAGACATACATGCACAGTATAATCTGTCAGCCAAACTTGCTGCTGAAAGGTAAGAACACATCTGAATAGTAAATTTTAATAGAAAGCTGAATGACCACTGGAGGAAGTCAAGCTTCTTGTTCAAGAACAGTTCTTTGAGATGTCCAAGAAATTATTAACCTCAAGTTTTCATTTCACATATTTGAAATGGGTTTCTTCATTTTGCTAAAACACAGATTGCAGGAAAAATGTCCCCCCGCTTCTTTTAGGTAACAATAACGGTTCTGATTTTTTTTAAATATCTGAGCAGAACACAACATACAGCAGCATTTGCAGACACAAATATCTACTAAACGAAAACAAAAAGAGTTCAAGTAAGATTATTAGCAAAATCTTTCAACAAGGGGACCCTTGCCTCTTACATCCCTCTGAATGATCATTAGCTTTCTATTAAACATAGGTCTACAACAACAGCCTTAAAACCCATTACAGTGAAAATTTCAGCTAAGCCAATACAATTTTCTATTCATCATTTCATGACATATGCATGTTCAGACATATCCAAAGCCAGAATTTCAGTCAAGGTGTGCGACAGAAACTACTCAACGTCACTGTCAGTTAACAGATAACACTATCAAGAGCCTACACACAAATCAACACATGATATACCAATGCAGCTAACTTGCAAAAGTAACAAGCAGTTCAATGATGCAAGAGGGAAACAATGAAATAATTGTCAATGAATAACATTACCATGTTCACAGAATTTGATTACAGAAATAAATCACAATTGAATGTCATTTACATGGAATCAGTAGAACCAGAGAGGTCCTTCACAAAAAATTCATAGGAGAGGAAAAAAAAACAAACAAAAAAACAATATATCGGCTGCCACTCTTTAAATGTAATGTTTGTAGGAATTAACATATCAACACTTAGTGAAACTAAACATCACTTTGACAGAACATAAAATAGTACACACAGTTCCTTTAGCCCCTATTTTGAGAGGAAGCTTCAATGCTTTGAAAAGCTGTGCATTTAAAACGCTTATTATGACAAAAAAAATTTTGGATTTTTTTTCTCTCTCCCCAACCTGTGCCTGTTATGATATGTGTATCGGTAAAAATTACTGACCATCCAACTTGCAGTTACTATTATGCCATATCCCCCTTCACAAATTTTTGTCTTCTGAACGCTTTCTGACTTTGTAGCTTCCATTGGAAGATTGAACAAAAGGGGAGCAATCTGTGAAATAAAGTCATCTATATCCACAGTACTAGCTGTGACCAGTTCTAGAACTAAAAAGAAATTCTTTTCAGAGCACAAAACTGTAGGCTCCATAGAGTCCGAATCATGACCAGTTTGCAGTCAATTAAAATGAGTTAGATCTTTCTTTATACATTCATCCTACGCAAACACAGATGCATTTCTCCATCAAAGTTCATCAGAAAAAAGAAACTTTGTGGGCCTGGTTAGCGCTGTATCTCTTCCGACAAAAACTCATTTTGAACGGCTGCACTACACATCATATCAAGAAAACATCCACAGTATAGAAAATAAGATGTTAACATTAACTGTCTCTGAGGATAGACATGGATTCTGTATTTGTTCAATCAGCACACATGGTCAGAATCTATTTTCCTCACCTTTTTTTCGTTCACCTCAGGACCTCCCCTGCCTGCATACAAGATCTACACAACACAGACAGTAAGAAAGTCAAAATCCTATTTATAACAAATATATACATAATTTGTTTCTATAAATTGAAAAGAGAAACTGAGGTGAGAAAAATAAGTTAAAAAAGCAGGCAGTTTCAACCAGCGAAACACCATTCAAGTTTTAGCCAGTAAAACTTGGTGAAAAATGTTTGTGAAAAAAATTGTGTCTGTAAACTTGACAGGTTGATGAGAACGATTTCTAATAGTCACAGTATTTGCAATCATGTTGAGAAAGTAATGATGACAGTTACTGGAATCATTACAAATTGAAGAACTTCATGTCTTTAGATGGAAAGTGTACACTCAAAGGACGTAGGAATGAAATACTTTGATACTTGGTAAGTGTTTTTGATAAATGATCCATGAATTCACATAGTTTAAGTTATAGGCTACTTCATCTCCATAGTCACAAAGCCACAACAGAATAAAACCTCAGAATCAAGCAGTCATTTGACAGAGGTGTGTAACACATGGCAATCAAAGAATAGCTTACTCTACGCAAGCTCCTTACTTCATACGCGTGGCTAGCAGCTTGATCAACCACATCAGAACTAACTGGATTTAAAGGAGGAAAAAAAACATAATCAAGTAGCGGGTTGGTACCATGGTTAGTATTGGAGAAGACAAAGCAACAGAAAAAGGAAAAAAGAAGAGAGACAGATAGAGAGAGAGATAGACAGAGAAAGATAGGGAGAGAGAGAGAGAGAGAGAGAGAGAGAGAGAGAGAGAGAATACAATGTTACTGTGCAATTAGAATTAGAGGAATGCAAAACAGAGAGGAAAGGATTAGAAAAGAAAAGAACCATAAAGATGTCTTCCTCGCAACAAAATTTTTTCCACCCACGCTAACTCGAAAATAAAAATCTTACAAAACAAAATCAAAACAGAAGCTTAGTTGACACAAAAAACCCTATTATTTTCAGGTTTACACGTGTTGCAATGGGATTACAGAGTGTTGCAATGTCTAATCTTGAATTAGAATTTATACATTAGAGGTTTTTCTTTTCGCTAAAAAGTGGGTCTTCCATTACCTAAAACCTTTTAATTTTTTCCGTCCCTAATTGTTGTGAACACTTTGTATTTATACATATCGACTCCTGAGTGTAAGACTCGACTCCATGCCATTTCGAAAAGTGAAATTATGACGGAGTCTTATATACTGAACAGTCGATATGTATAACGACGCGGAGGAATCAGGCACTTGTCAATTTTGGGGCCTTTGGAGTTATTGGTATCTTCTTAAAACCTGTTCATTTGCTTTGCTTTGCACACAAAAAAATATTCATTTATCTTTTGTACAAGTCAAGATACTAGCAATTGAAGGAGGTGGGTGTCGCCTGGTTTCAGAGGAAAAATTAGCGAGAAAATGGCCACCAAAGTTGCATTAAATTTCCTTAGCTTGGGAGTCCGTGGAAACTGAAAATTTACATCTTTTATGCCTATAATCAACATCTTTCAGTAAAATCAACACAGAAATGTGTTCTTTAAAGGGCATGAAAGGTGTTGAGCGAAAAAACAAACAAATTTGATAAAAATTCCAAAACCTGCGGAAAAATGCCAGTTTCTTCACTTTCATTATTTTGACGAGCGCCAGATTTCACCATACACTACCTCACATACGAGGGGGGGGGGGGTCAATAAGTCTTTGGTCTGGATAAGAAGGAATCATGGTAGAGTAAAGAAATTTCGCCAGCTTTTGGACAATTGCTTTGGAATACACCATGCAAATTTTCGAGAAAATCCGACAATAATAAGGCACTAGTCAGCGTGTTCAATGAAACCATGCACAAAAACGACTGGTTTTTCTTTGCTGAAGCTGTGCCATGGAGCCTGTTGGATATCGTTCAGTTATCAAGTTTTTACACTCTCAAGGAAAATCCTTGCCTCAGAACAGTGCGGCTTTGAAATCCTGCCACACCCAGCTTATTCACCAAACGTAACGCCTTCAAATTTTTTTGTTTGCTCATCTAAAAAAATTACTGAAAGGACGTTGTTTCCAAGACAATGAGCATGCCATTGAAGCAGTGGAAGACTGGTTAGGGCCCATACTGGGTCATTTTTTTCTCAAGGACTTTTGAAGGTCAAAGAGAGGTGGTAGAAATGAGTTGCTCTGCACGGTGTCTATGTAGAGAAATGAAAGTATGTTTGCCAAGTTGCAAAGCTCTATATTTATTCATAATAATATTTAGACCAAAGACTTCTTGAACCCTCTTCATACGTACAGTATACATCCCGTTGCTGTTACAACGGGGGAAAAAGGAGTACAGTACCTCCACTAGTCTTTACCCACTCTAATAAAGCAGTGTCAAACGGAAGTAACTATTTTTAATGCAGTAGAGATAAAATCCAGCTCACAGAAAAAAAAGGAAAGTCAAATCACTTGGCCAGAGAAAGCTGCAGCCAATGCAATTCCGGGGCTTCTGGGAGATTGCTTCCCTTAAAACAGTAAAAGGAAATAATTTTGGGCAGCCAAGCAAGAGAGTTTGAAAAAAAACAAGAAACAAAAAAACAAAACAAAAACACCAGAAACAAAACAAACAACACAAGCAAAATACACATGGAAACTAATAAAAAGATATTTGAGATCATCTGGAATGATAATTTTTCAATAAATGAAGGGCCTGCTTCAGGACATTCTTCACCTGAACAGAAAAAAAAGCCAAAAAACTATTATGTCCTGTGGGAATCAGACCAAATTTACACCTCATAAAAATAAGATTATGTCACACAACAGAATAAAAGTGCCTATGTAACATCATAGAAACACTTCATCTATAAGATATGTGGGAATGTTACTTTGTTCTGCCAAACTGAAATGCATTGTGCAGAAGGATAACAATAATAATAATAATAATGTCAATAATAATGATAAGAATGCAAAACTAACAACCAAATCACACATGGTATAAGAGTTTATAAAATAAATATTTCGCGTGTAAAGTAGTTCTAAAATCAGAAGGTAGTTGTGTGATATAACTGATATGTTGGAAGTAGTAACCCTGTTGACTTGCTGTGAAGCTAAAAGTTCTTTCAGAAAACAGTTCAGAAGCGAAAAATATGTCTTGAGACAAACTGAAGGGCATTATGCCTGAGACTTTGCCTATGCTCATTCATAATTTAAAACCTCTCTCTCTCTCTCTCTCTCTCTCTCTCTCCCTCTCTCTCTTTCTACTCCCTCCCCCTTTCTCTCAGTGAACCCACCTTTGCACGTCGAAATCTGTTAGGGTTGTTGCTATGACTACTTTTGTCTTTGTTGCAACCTTCTTCTCGCATCTGCCTCTCTTCCACCACATATCTCTCAAACGCCCTCCTCTCCTCCTCGTATCTACGACGACTCTCGAAGTTCGGACCCTCGATGATATCAGACCGCCTACGCCTGCCCGGGCTGCGGTGCTGTTTGCGACCCATATCCTGACTGCTGTTGACCCTCTTGACCCCTGACCCCATCGGGGTCCTCAACATAGAGTTTGTGGGGCTGCTGGTGGAGATGCGAGGTGCGGTGTAGCGTTGGGAAATACTGCTGTTCAGGCTGTTTGTGGTTGTGGTGGTGAGGCCCTCCGAGTCTATGACTGTTTGTTCCAGTTGTTGTAAGTTGGAGGCTGACCTTGAAGATAAAGTAGAGGATTCACCTTCATTAGTAATTGTGCAGTTGAGGTTCTCATTTGAGTCTTTCTCTCTCACTGGGTTATTAGAGTGGTGTTGAGTTGTCGGCGACTGATGGGTTTGTTGGCCTTGTGAGTCTGCAGGGGAGATAACCGGTGAGCAGGAACAGGATCCGGAACCTGTGTCCTGCGCGCGGGACGAAGAGTCAAAGTCGGGGGATGATTTCTCGCTCATTGTTTCTAGGGGTTGATTTCGTGGGCTGTGAAGAGGTGAGGCATCACACGTGCTTTCAACATCAGCGCTGATCTGCGAGGAGCGCTTACTACTACATGTAGCATCACTGCAGCCACCATCACAGCCGAAACAAACATCGTTAACGTTTGCATCTGCCCCCGGTGAATGTCTCTCCGAGCCTCCGCGGTTATTGGAAGGATCTCTCAACTGAGAGTCCTGCAGAAGCTGAGGGGGTCGTCGCGACACATTATTGTCAGTATGGCACAATTTCGCTTCCGTCTCTTCTGCTTCATCTTCGCTGCGATATTCCCTGATCGCTGTTCCGGGCCCAAGAAATTTAAAGGTACCTGGTTTGATATCAGCATGATCCGCTAGATGAAGTCCAGCTGGATTGAGAAGATCAGGAGTATCCTTCTCCCTGAATGCCTCTCGGGAGGGAGATTTGATAGGGGAGATAATGTCCTTGTTAGACCCGCGGCTATTGCTGCGGCGATGGCGAGACTTACGAGCCCGCATCTTGGTCGGTGACGGTTGTACGAGTTCTGAGCTGGTGGTCATACTTCCCTCTGTGTTCTTCATCGAATCCGGGCTGAGGAATAGGAGAAAAAGGACAGCTAGAATGATCGTTAACATTATGACTTCTACAAGTCAATTTATTGGTAGATGTAGTTTAAGCTCAAAGTCTAGCCAGACAGTCTGGCTCCATATTTATTTGATTTCACTAAAGTGAAAAAGGACAACAGAAAAGAAAAATGTGTGTTTAACTATTTCAGTATCTTTCGATTTTATTCCCTTTGACCCGTATTAAACTTGTTTTGTTGTGTTTTTTAATTTCCACCTAATTTGCAGTTAGCCACAAATAACAAAACAACAAAATTGCTTCGTCCATCAGAAAACACTGTTAGTTATCATATACTCGCTTATGCTTCAAGCAATTTTTACAAAGCATGAGATCCAACAGTATACACCCTGTAATATATGCACCACGTGAGCCCTACTTATAAAGTACTTCTTAGTGATCTGAAATAAACATTGGACTAAATATTGTTAACCAAGCCATTTTCCTGAGCTGCACTTGAAATTTTTGCATGAATTATTAGGAAAATTTGGTCAACGAGTACTTGATTTCACATATATTGAGTCTCTCACCACTTTGAACGACAAAAATGGGCCTATTTTGGAGGCAAAATATATCTCCCCCACTCACCCCACCTCCATATTATGTGCAAGATCATGTTATAGGTGAGTATATAAGGTACAATAATTTCAAGAAATATATCAAGCAACTTGTTAAGTGAGGAGGCAATAGATAAACTCCTGAGAGAATTTATAGTGGATGATTTTGTTGTAAATGAATTTCATTGTAAGTCTAACTCAAAGGTGCAAGTCCTTACGTTGTGACCTCTGAACCAGATCTGTGCGTTCTTTTCTTTCCGAGACGATCAAGTTTCTCTTGTGCTTTGATGATGGGTCTGACGATGCTCTTTCGACGTTTGTTGTACAAGGTAAGTTGTTGTTCCCGTCTGTGGAACAGTTAGCAAAGTGGTCATAAGGCACACTTGTGAAATAGTCAACAATACAGAGAGGAAATATCTGGTGACTCATAAAGCTATTTCAGACCTGGTTACATGTTTCTCATGAGGCAAACACTAAGTAAAAGTGACTGTGGATGCATTTTGCCCCAGTCAAAAAACTTTGATTATTACTTAGGAGGCAGGCTGCTTCAACTCTTGTTGTCAGGTCAGGACCAACCTGGGCTGAATGGGATGCATTGTCCCAGCAGAGAGACAGAGATACTTGACAAAAATTCTCCCCCCCCCCCTCGGGAATCAGTCTTCCAACTCCTACATACAATGAAGAAACCCCTAAATGCAACACCACGGATACCAGCAACTACAAAATAGGATGAAAAGGCTATATCAAAATATGTTTACCAAAAAAATAACGAAAGCAGAAAGTTGTAAAAATTGAGGATATATTAAATAACACAGATTTAAAAAAGAATAGAGCGATAGGAAAAGGAAGATCCTAGAGTAAGGAGACCCAGACAACACAAAAGTACTTTTCCACGGACACATACTTGATCAGTTCTCGTTCCCGCTTCTCCAGTTGTAGCATGCAAGCTGTCAGCTCCATGTACAGGTTATTCGCTCTCTCCAGTTTCCTCTCGTAATGTTCTCGCACGTCCTGGGCATGACTGCAATGTGGCATTTTTTAAAATATCAGGTGAAAAAAAGATTAACTGATTTGAAAAAAGAATGGGAAATTATATAGATTGAAAACACCCGTTGAGCAGGAACTTGCTCTACACAAATGCTATTTATTATCATTTAAGAGGTGGGACCTCTCAATTTAAGATAGGACAGAGTAGGAAGAGAGCCTTGAAAACTCAACAAACAAGCTCAAGAATGTCCCCATAAGGTATTTGAGGATTTGAACCAGGGATATCCTCACCCCAGCTAAAAATCTGATGTCTACTGACTCATCCCCTAGCCAGCACCTCATAAGTTAATGTATATCTCTAAAGAGAAATTTACCTAAAGCTGAAGTATTCTTTTCAACATTTTGTTAAGACTGAATTTTTATAAATACTCCAAACAAAATTAGACTGTTCGCTGTCACTTTCATACGAGTACTTTTAAGTGCAAAAAAACCCAGCTACACACCTGATAAGCACATTGAAGTTGAAGGTTTTAATCATAGCAAGATTTGAATTTTCCTTTTTTTCAGAAATATTCTTTGTTTCAGACTATTGTCTGTGGTAAAGAATCAAGTTATCTCCCTTAAAAATATCCTACAAGGAGGTTAGTGGGAAATCAGACCAAGTCGGAATAAGAAAACAAAAGTTCAAAACTTCAAGTCAGAATAAGAAAGCAAAAGTTCAAAAGTTCAAGACAACTTACCGCAACTCCTCCTTTCGCCTTTTGATGAGTTCCTCTTCCAGTTGAGGTAGATTTGAACCTTCAGCTTTCATTTTCTGGAAGTTTTCCCTGATCTCAGTTCTCCAGGTCATCTGGTATGTCAGATAAAAAAATGTAATGATAATGATAACAAGATTTTTTAAAAGGAGACCATAATGAATTATTTTACTATAAAACTACATCAAAGATCCAAGAATAGTTGTTTCTTTCTTGAAAGAGGCAAGAGAAAACAGATAAAAGCATAATGATAGTGGACAAAAACCATAGCGAACAGATTCTCTCAGAATAACAGATAGAGATGTATCGCACACCAAAAAAAAAAGCTTTCAAGTACAAAGTTTAAAACAAAAATCGAACATTATCTTTGGGTTCTTTTCAGCTGGTTCTTTTTCTTTACCACAATATGTTCCTTTATGTGAGGAAAATTTTCAGCACAAAAAATAAGTAAGTGTTCCATCAAGACCCCTGAACAGAGCTTGCACTCAGAAGCACAGAGTCTGAACTGCTCTAGGGAGTGTAGAACTCTTTCAAATTCTTGAGTCACTATATTAGTCATGTGACAACCCCAAATTTCTATGAATAAGCTATTGTGAGAAACCAGTAAGGATTCTGGGCTTTTCTATGTTGGCTATTTTTAGATCCCTACCTCACTTGAGTGAGTCATGAGCAAACAAGTCTATATTATCTTCTTTGACAAAATGGACAAAAATAATTAAAAGCACATCAGTATTTCAAAGACAGTCAAGGACAGAGACACATGAGCTGTGTGCAGAGTTCAACGCACCGTTGCATTTTACAGTTGTATGATTACCTCTCCTGATACTATTGCCATTACACTACTTCAGCATTTTTTTAAAAATTGACACAAACCCTAAAAAACATACGTAGGCCTACTTCACATCCACATTCAAAGTCACAGGCCAAGTCTTTCCCTAGCCAGATGTTTTCATAAAACTCCAATCTTGCTGGCAACCAAGCAGTACAAGAATTGAATCTCAGGCTAAGAACTCTGAGCTCATTTCTCCAGACGTATCCTTTAAGTTCTACAATATTGTGACTGTTTTCACTCCCACAGCTTCTTAGCCAAAAAATTTTAAATGATTAACTTCATCAAAACTGAACCAAAAATCAAAATTTCTGAAAAGAAAAAATCTCAGAGTGTAGAGTACCTGAGACTCTGCAAATGTCTCCCGCGTATAGTTGAGCAGTTCTGTTGATGCAATCTCCAGATGCATGAGAATCTGGCGGAAAGACGGCCGGTTTCGGGGCTTGGCACTCCTGCGTGAGAGAGGTCAACACAGTCATTGAAGCCATTAAAAGCATCAAACAAAATTAATTATAACATCCTCAACAACATTCTGTAGCCAGAGCATAAACATGTAAAAACAGGCTCAAATGGAGGTGTATTTTGTTGTTTTTTTTCAAGATGGAAACATTTTGCCATCCCCTTCTTCAACTGATGGACAAATAATCTTAGGCAGAGCTCTTCATCTTTACAAACAGCTTATAACTGCTCAAAACGATATGGCTCTAGTATTCTAGCTTTCTCCTAGCAATGGATTCCTTTGAAGAGTTTACACCAAACCAGTGAACAGTGTTTGATCGAAACTTTCAAGTTTAAGTTGTTCTGTACATCAACTTTCGTTCAGGTCTATAAAGCTCAGCTTATGATCTTGACTAGATTAAAAAGCAAATATGATCGCCAGCGGAGCAGGCTATGGATGAACCGCTCAAAGAAGAGGAGGTGCTCACCAGCACTGCCTCATGAGCAGCTTGAATCCCTCGGGGCAGGTGCCCGGCACAGGGAGGTGGAGACTGTTGCTGCCCACCCCCCAGATGATGGCGGAGGAGTCCACGTCTTTGTAGGGGACTTCTGCAGTCAGGAGCTCCCACAGGACAACGCCATATGACCTGGAGGATGTGTGTGTG